GTTTCTTTTTTCTGTTTTTTTAGGTTACCAGACTCCTAGGAACTTGAAGAACCCGAACTTGGGATACTTGGTATGTAAGCTTAAGGAAGGGGGAAGGAATCTTTTTTTTTAATATATTGAAGAAACGTTATAACGTTCCTTCTATTTTTTTTGTTTTTTTTTACCAGACTTTTTTATATGGAAAGTTTTATTTAATTGCTTCGAAGAAACGAGTGTGTTTCTTATAGTATACCATTGTTTATAAAAATTGGTTTATTACAATAAAATAAATAATATAATAAAATATTTAATTACGTATATATATATTGGAATTAAATTAATGAAAAAAAATTATTATAGAATGCTGAAATTATGCCGAAACTATATCAAGATGTTAGTATTAGCTATGCCAAAACTATGCCGAAACTTGCAAATAGTTTCGGCAGTTTCAGCATTTCGGCAGGTTTTGGTGTTTCAGCGTTTTGGCAGTTTCGGTACCAATAAAAGAGTTTCGGCTTTCGGCACCAGGCCAAATGAGTTTCGGCAGGCAACCTTAGATGTACCTCGAGTTACATAATAGATATTTCCAAATTGAAAGCTTCTTTCTTTAAAATCGATATTATCAATCACAGCTAAATTAAAGACATTTTTTTCGGTCAATAGGCGTTTAGAAGGGTCAGCACTTTTCATCCGTGTTTTTTCTAATCTTCGTTCATGTCTATTCGTATGTCCAATAATAGAACATTTGGTTAAAAGGTCATGCAATGAAGATAATAATTTTGGTCGTTGGCATAATGAAGCTAATACATTCGGTAGCCACAAATTTAGGTATGAAAATGTAAAATTAATTAAAGCTGAAATTAATAAAGAAAGAAGATGGTTGATTTTTTGCGAATCTAATTCCTTTAATGATTTTTCTTTTAGGAGTCATTTTCGGTTGGATTCTGCGGTCTTTTTTTCCAATATTGTTGTAAGCATAGACTCAAAAAAATTTGTTAAAGACCCAGGAAATACACTAATATAATCATTAAGACTTTCTGGAGTTTGTAAGTTATTTATATTTTTTTTAAGACATTTATATGATTGCCATAGATTTTGTCCCATTTCCCGGCCAATTTCTTTATATTTTAGCTCATTCAACTCCTCTTCTTGAAATTCGATAGGAATTTGGTTTAATTTCATTACTGTTTTTAATATAAAATAACTTGGAGCACTGTGATTAAAATATAGAGATTTATCGAGTGTATTAGATATGTCTAATTGTGATACCATTGTAGATTTATTTTTTGCATTAAAAAATGGACTAATTTGTGGCAAAATTGCCGTAAGAACATTTTCCTGATATTCAAAATTTTCATTATTTGCGACATGTAGAAGCCAATTGGCCAACATTTTCAAGTTTTTTTATATATCCCCCTTATGGTCTCCCTTTTTTTTACATGATAGTGTTTCTCGACCTCTTCCTGGTCTAGTGTGAAAATGTCCTCCTTCATGTTCATAACAATTACAACATACATATCGAGGATTTTTAATTTTATCAAAAGCACATTCACATAAAGAATTGTATGGTTCTAACGCACTACAATTAAATTGGCCATTACAGACCACTTGAACATTCCTTTCAATTATCTTCCATGAATGTTTCTCGCATCTCGTACCTCGTGTAAAAAAATAATAAAGTTTTTCACAAAATAAACATCTTTTTTGATAAAGTACACTTTGACTTGTGTCTTTTAATTGTTTAAAGTCCGGCTCATGAAGATTTTTTTGATCATTGTTAAAATGATAACTACAAACGCCTAGCCGTTCTAATACACCATCTGCTTCAACAATGCTTTTCCCATCTATTTGATATACACCACAAAGCTGCCATAATGTTTGAAAACTTTTTGAATTTTCACATCTTTTAATATGGCCTTCGATCTTATCAACAATAACACATCGTGTTAAATTTTTAGATGCTTTTTGTTCAATAATTATATCATTGTCTTCCGAATCTGTTTCTGAAATTGAATCATCGTCAAATATACTATCTGTTTCACTTGTATCCTCTATATCAATAACTTTTTTTAAATATTCTTCATCCAAAGAAAAAGTAACTTGTTCAATTTCAGTTTCAAAATTATCATCATATATAGTTTCAGATTCCGTGTTTTCACTATCAAAAAGACAATATTCTTCGCTTCCTTTTGGTAAAATACTTGATATTCCTAAAAGTGAAGCTTTTGGGGCTTTTTCGTGTGTTTTATTTAAAGACATTTCAGAATTTAAAAGTTTATACGTAAGCTTTGTGAGTAACCTTATAGCCGAGATCCTCTTAAACTAAATTCAAAAAGCGCGTTCTGACAACATACCTACTTTTAAAAAAGGCTTTTTTTGATCTGTAATTAGGTCACATTTCTTATTAGCCAGCCAATAATTTTTTTATTGTGTATGAAACTTCAGTTATTTGACGATTTTTATATGAAATTGGTGATGTAATATGTAGATCATTACTAATTAAAAAATTTGATCATCATGTGACTGGATTTGTCTGGTGATTGATAATTATTTTACTTAAATTTATAACAAGTGATTTTTACCACAAAAAATTTCCACATCTACGTGACTTAAGACGGCATTATAGCCTAGTAGGATTATGAAATTAACAATATGACAAATAAGGTAATACCGGTAAGACCTTTCATAAATTTTAATTTACGCGCCATTCTTATTAGGGTTGTTAAATTACTGTAATTTTCAGAATTTTTTGTAAGTTACAGTAATTTTCCAAAACTTACATTACATTATGTAATTTTGAAGATCATATATAAATATATAATAAACAGATTGATTATCTTGATCATTTTTTTTTCTCGTATTCTTAATTAAAATGCCACGAGAAAAATCTAGTTTTTGGTCTGAATTTAAAGAAAAAACTGATCAAAATGGGAAGAAACGATTTCAATGTAAACATTGTAGTACTGAGAAAGCAATGAATGCAACTAGATTACTTGATCATTATAATACTTGTTTAGCAAGATTAGCTTCTCAAGAATTTAATTTACCAATTTCTTCAGATTCAAACTAATATTAAAAAATGAAAACAAACAAAAATCCATAATTATATGCAAAGTATTAGTAATGAAGACCAACAAGAATTAGAATTTTTATTAGCTCGTGCATTTTATAGTACTGGAATAGGACCCAGAAATATATATACAGGGGTAGGGTACACAGATGCGTCGCCATCATAGTGGAATTAGACGGAGTAAAGTTTTGATTTGCGTACAATTTTAGAATTTTTCATCTATAGTTAGGTCATCAAGATTGCGTATTTTTTATCAAATTTTTTATATGTAAAAAATTAGTTTGCGTATTTTTGACCTAAATTTGGCTAATCTTATATATATAATATATTTACTGTACGTACTTATTTAATTAACCGAATTGTAAGAAATTTCTAAGGGTTAAAAAGTGAAATTTTAGAAAAATATTATTAAAAAAATGGTAAATTCTATTTTTTCACATTAGTATTTATAA